GCAAACCCAAGAAAGGGTTGGATGTCTTTAACCTTGCATGGTTCAGGCCAATCGTGAATGGACTGGACCTTATCAGCAGACATGGTCAGACCAGATGGGGAGAGGACATAGCCAAGGTACTTGACAGAGTCTTGGTGGAACTTGCACTTTTCTGGCTTAGCAAAGAGGCTATGCTGGCAGAGGTGGCAGAGGACCTCTTTTACATGTTGGTGGTGCAACTCCTCATTGTGGGAGTAGATGAGGATGTCATCAAGGTAAACAACAACACAGACATCAAGCATGTCAGCAAAGATGCTGTTAACAAACCACTGGAAAGCCACCAGCACATTAGTAAGACTGAAGGGCATAACCAACCATTCATAGGAACCATAGTAAGTGTGAAAGGCAGTTTTCCATTTGTCACCAGCACTGATTTGGACTAAGTGGTAGGCATGGCAGAGGTTGATGTTTCTATAGATTTTAGCATGGCTTGGAGAATCAAGCAAGTCAGAGATGAGAGGAAGCAGGTAGTGGTCTTTCTTGGTGATTTTGTTGAGTCCTCAGTAATCCACACAGAGGCAGAGTGAGCCATCTTTCTTCTTAATGAAGTGGACAGGAGCACCATGGGTGGAGGTTGACTGTTTAATGAAACTGTAGCTGAGGTGCTCATCTATGAAGGTGTGGAGCACCTCTAGCTTGGGCAGAGAGAGGGAGTAGACAGTTCCTAGAGGTGGAGAAGCCCCTTCTTCAAGATCTATATTCAAATCAGAGCTGCAGTGTGGAGGGAGTTCAGTAGCCTTTGCTTTACTAAAGACATCAGCAAACTCATGGTAGTCAGAGGGTACCACAGAGAGATCAGGAGGTGTGGAGGGCATCAAAGAGGCTCAGAGTTTCATATCTTCAGGGCAGAGGTGCAAGCAGAACTGTGCAGAGCCAGGAAGAGCACAGGCATGGACAAAGGCTGCAGCTCTGATGAGGGAGATATGTGGAACAGTGCATGGCAAGTCAGCCATCAGAGTAGGCAGCAGAGCTGATGTCAGAGAAGTGGACAGAGTGGATGGTGTCAGTACTGAAGCAGAAGTTGTGACAGAAGGTGACAGAGGCACCAAGGGTGTCAGCATTCTTTGTATCAATGGTCAGAACAAGATACTGCTCAGTACCCAGTCAATCAATGGATTGTAGTGGGTGAGCCAGTTGTGTCCCAAGACCAATGAACAGGTGGAATCCAACAGAGTTACACAACAGGAAACAGATGTGACATTGCCAAAGGCAAAGGAGATGGAGAAATCTACTACTTGGGAAATGGTGGTATTACTAGTACCATCAAACAGTTGGAGAGGAATAGGTGGAGAAACATTTTTTGTTGGGATTTTATATTTTTTAACTAAAGTAGGGTCAACAAAGCAATGTGAAGAGCCTGAGTCAACCAGAGTGGGGAAAGTATCTGCAGAGAAATCAGGAAGAGAAATAATTGGAAGAAGAGAATTAGGGTTGGAAAGAGCAGATGTGTTGAGGTGGACCTCTGCACAGATGGTATCAACACTTCCTCCAGGACATACAGGCTCCCTGGAGGAGCAGATTAATTTTTTGGCTCTAACCTCTCCACAGGTGGAGCAGTTGGAGTGGTGGCCTTGGCAGTGTGGGAAGTCAACTTTGGGCAATCCTTGGCAGAGTGGCCGGGTTCACCACAGAAGAGGCACAGCCCACCAGTAAGGTTGCAGAGCCACTCAGCTGCTGTGAGCTTGCCATCTTTTCCCAGGAGATGGTTGATGTTGGACTTTGATGCTTCAGCCTTTTAGAGTCATACTTAGGGGCAGAGGATGATGCAGAGGGTTTTGGCTTGGAGTCAGAGGTGCAGAGCAGAGTTCTTTCAGCAGGAGGAGGCTTGGTAGAGTGGGAGACTTCTGACCTGCACTCCCAGTAGTGTGCATCTACTGTCTGGGCCAACTCACAGAGTGCATGAAGAGTGGTAGGCTTGCTGACACAGGACACTTCATTCTTGATGCAGTCAGGGAGACCTAAGTAGAAGCAGTGGCAGAGGGTGCCTTCACCATAGTCTTTTACCTGAGAAGCCCAGCAGTTGAACTCCACTAAGTACTTCACAATATGTGAAGAGTCCTTCATGGTAAGGTTTTCCAGATGCTGGACAGCATCAGCAGCAGCATCATGAGGGCTGAAGTTGGTAATAAGCTCACAGAGGAACTTGTGGTGGTTGTCCATCCACAGTGGACAATTAAGGTAATTATCTGGATTGAGTGTTATGCTCAACTGAAGTCAAGGTGTAGGGAGAGCTCAAATGCAGACTATGGTTTCTACTGAGCAAATGGCTACAGCAACCTCTGTAAATGACAGAGGATTTGGGCAACACCAGTAAGAGTGGTCCTGGTTAGGGACACTGAGGGCGAAGTTCTGAGAATGCTGTGTATGATTGAGCAGCTCAAGTCTGGGTGTTCCAGGACTTGGGCTGACAGACTAAATAGTGTACAAGAAATGGACCATGAGGCATCTCTATGTAACAAGGTAACTTTGCCATTGGTTGGGCAATGGCGACACATGTTCTATGCATGTAATGAGAGGATAATGCTAGTGGTGGAAATAAGGAGCTATTGGATCAATGAGAAGACAGCTCAAAAAGGAAAGACAGTCCATCAGATTGAGTACAAGGTAAATGTGAGGAGAAAAAGAGTAAACAAGGGTGAAACATAACATTGAGGAGATCCGGTTCAAACCAGGCCAATGCCATCCCCTTAAGGTAGGACTGTGCATATGTGACCTTGGCTTGGTCAGAGCAGAATGCCCAAGGGAAGTCCTGGAAATTGAGCTCACATTGGACCAAGAACTCACAGAGTTTTTTAGGGTTGGACCCATCAAAGGTATCTGGCTCATGGACTTTGGTTTGTGGAGTGGAGTTTCTGGAGCACTGGTTGGAGTGGGCTAGGGCATGGATGGCCTGGATCAGAGCAAGGACTGGGTCATCAAGGGGATCTGCAAGGTTGTCAGGATCATCCTCATCATTGTCAGGGTTGCCTGGTCCATCTCTGCCAGGGTGAATGATGATAGGAGGTGGTGGAGAGTGGAGGGTGGACTGCTGATGGATGGAGGGTGCAGCACATGAGGCACTGTCTGGAGCAGGGTTGGAGTTGGAGCACCCCCTGGAGGAGAAGCTCTGGAAGGGCTCAACAACTGAAGGGAGATGTTGGGGGTTTGCCAAGGCTGTAGCAAGGGCCTCAGTAGCATCCCATTGACAGAGATGTGTCATAGGAGGCATAGTGGACATGGTAGGGGAAGTGAGAGAGCTCATACAAGTGAGAGTATGAATATACTGTCAAGGTCACACAACACCCCTGACTTCCTCTTAGGGCAGAGTAGGAGCAGGTTGGGCTGCAGAGTACAGCAGTCAAAGTCCAAAGCAAATCTGACCACTGGGTGGCAAGATATTCAATGAATAGTGAGTGGAGGGTATGGAGGAAAGTTTCAGAGGCAGAGGTCAGATGAGAGGGTGTTGGGTTCAGCTAGTGTGCTGCCCCCTTGTGTGAGCTCAGCCCTTGTATTTCAGAGGTGGAGTGGACTCAGAGGGAGTTGGAAGTGGGGACTTTATTTGATATTTGTACTGATTACATCAGAGTACTCTGTGGCCTTATATATGATGTAGGTCAAGGGCAGTGCAGTGTAAAATGCAAACCAATAAGCATATAACAGGTTAGCAGTCCCTTTGACACAAGGGATAGAGGGTAGGGATGACAGGGACCTTAACTGAGACAAGGAAACTACTACAATGAGGGAGAGAGGGTAAATACTGAAGGAGTGGAAGAATGGAGAAAAACTGACATGAGGGTGGAATCCTATCTGGAATGCAGGGCTGCAAGTCTGACACCCCACTGGGCCAACCAAGGCCTTGGAGGAGACACAGATGAGAGTCTGGCCTCCACATGACCAGCCTGAGGGTGGAGTTGAGTGGAGTTGGTCAGAACATGGACAGGTGACCTTGGAGAGGTGTGGAGATGTGTCAGGAGGGTCAGAGGAGTGCAGGAACACATTGGAAGAGGGCAGAGAAGCATGGGAACATGTTGAAAGAGGGCAGAGTAGGTGTTAGGGGCTTATGTCAGTGTCATGGTCATGACAGATGGCCACCAAACCTTATGGCACAGAGCCTTCAATAAAGGGTCTGATGCAGTGGATGCTGATGTGCAAGTAGTGCATACATTCAAGGATTGCTTGGACCTTGCTACCATGTGTGCAGAGAAAGAGTACAGCATTGGCATTCTTGTATGTCAATGATCAATGATCATCCATGTTTGTTCTTCAATAACTGACTGAAGTCACCTTTAGGCCTCACTTCACATTCTAGTGCCTGTTATACTATGCTGGCCTTTGGCAACCAGAGTCCATTGATGATAGTTATCATCAGTTCTGTGTGGCAGGGCCATTTCCCTGTCCTTGGTTGCTGCAAAACATTCTTGTTGTGTGGGCTAGAAGTTTGTCAGCCTAGTGTGCTTAAGCAAGCAATCAGGCGAGGTGCATATGTGGCATGCTGCTGAAATGACATCTAATGGGTTGAGGCACTCAAGGCGAGAATGGGATACAAATAGTGTTGGAGCATGAGTAAGCATGCTGACCTGGATGAGTACAGGATCATTGATGACTAGGGCAGCACTACGAGGAGGCTCGAATGAAAACAAGTATCACTAGAAATACAGATTCGTAGCTGAAAAAATAACAAGAATGAAAAACCCAAAAAAAAACGCTGAAAGGCCAAAACTATGACTCAAAGAGTTCAAAATACAGGGGCGAGGGCTGACAAGATAGGAAGAACGAAAACAGCTATTATGGCTATTGAAAGAGGAGGAGTGAGGAGGAGAAGGGATAAGATCCATTAATCCAAACTCCCTCGGTGGCTAAGAATTGCTGCATTGTGTGGCGTGATTCGAAACCAGGTCCTGGTAACGATCAATTTACCCCGAGCGGGATTATAGGGGTTGCATGTCCCCCGATCATCGGTTGCCAACAACCTTGCCTTTGTAAGCAATGTGACCAGATTATTCCACCTATATCAACGGCAGAATCCTCATGAAAGTCTATCCTACTGTTTCCTCTGCACTTCCTTTTGACCTACGGTGGTGCGATTGTCCCATGAGTAACCTTGTTACTGTAGGTACCGTGGCGCCCATTGATGGTCTACCCAAGGTTTCCACAGTGAATGTGACTGCTCCCATTGAACCTGTGAGTGATCAATGACACGCCGCTTCATTCAACGTTACCAACACCCTTCCAGCCGTCAGAACTGTATGAGAGACGACAGGCAGCGCCTTCTCTGGATACCGTGGTTGTAGGCTGTGGCATAGGAGGTCTCGCAGCTGCATTTTGCCTTGCAATGGCAGGCCATAAAGTCACCATCTTAGAGAGCGCTGCGACGATTGGTGAAATTGGCGCCGGTATTCTCATGACTCCCAACGTAACCCGCCAGTTAATCCGTTGGGGCCTCGAAAAGCGACTGCAAGAAGTCGTTGTCAACCCAAGTGCACTGACCGTTCGTCGTTGTAAGTCTTCCGTTTTTACTAGTTTCGACCTTCTTTACACACCACTTCCCTCGACGGCATGAAAGGGTGCACCGGAGAGACGTTATCATGGAAACAATGGGGCGATTCGGTTGTGAAGAACTATGGGGCGCCGCTTTCCCACATACACGTCAATAATCCTTCCTTTCTTTTCTGGCTTGTTTTTGATGACATTAAAGAGAGCTGATCTGCATCGCATGTTGTATGATCTCGCAGAGCCACACGTCAACATCCGAACGAATTGCCGGGTTGTTGCCATGGACCCATCTGTACCCAGCGTAACGCTAAAATCCGGTGAAGTTGTCCGTGCCAACTTGGTAGTTGGTGCAGACGGTTTGAGGAGCGTAACTCGTCAGTATGTCGTCGGGAGACCGGACGAACTAACCCCATCGGGTGATGCAGCCTACCGCGCTGTGTTGCCAACCGAATTACTCCTTGCAGACCCAGATTTAAGGACCCTTGTCGAAACTCCGGAGACAGCTATATGGTTGGGCCCACAGCGGCACATCGTAGCATACAACATTGTCAGAACTCGTTCTCTGTCCTTCCCTCTCGACTGCCTTGAAAATCTGACATTTGCTCCCAACAGCGAGCCAAGAAGGAGTATAACATTGTCATGTGCCATCCCGACCGAGACCCTGAAGGGTCCTGGAAAATAGAGGAAAGTACCGATAGGATGAAGGAGGAGTTTGTAGGCTGGGAGCCACGGTAAGTCTGATTACTTCTCTTTCCGGAGTGTCTTCCACTTGTCGGGCAACCAGCATCCAGAAACTCCTTTCGCTCATCCCTTCAGCGATCAAATGGACATTGATGGACCACGCTCCCCTAGAAACTTGGGTGCACGAGGACGGCAAACTTGCCCTTCTTGGAGATGCTTGCCATCCCATGCTTGTGAGAGCCTAGTCCATGAACGTATTTATTACCGATCTTGCTGACTTGATTGTTCCACGGTTTTGTACAGCCTTACGGTGCACAGGGGGCGGCTATGGCTGTGAGTCCAACAGATTTCTTCGCAAACTTCTGTTGGCACGAAACCTTTCTTATGAACACGCTAAATTAATTGTCACCTGCGGCCAGATCGAAGACGCCGCGGTCCTTGGAAACATGTTCTCCCGCTTGTCTTCCCGTGCTCAGATCACTCCACTTCTTCATGCTTACGAAGCAATCCGTTATGATCGGGCGACTAACACACAGGCGTTCTCCCGCCTCCGTAGGATCCCTTTGCATCTTTCTGATGGACGGGAACAAGAACAACGTGATAAGCAGATGCACGCTGCCATGGAGGACGCGTTAAGAGAAGCTCGTGGTGGAACATCTGTTAGTACTGACACGAATACTACCAGCAATGCGAACCAGCGGGATGAAAAAGAGAGGGAAGCAATCCAGTTTGGGTACGATACTGACAAGGAAGCTGAGAGGTGGTGGCGGGAACATGGCGAGAGCGAGGTTGGTTCTTTGAGAATGCCTTCGACATCATGATGTAGTGTTTGTCGCATCAGGTGTTTTCATCGGTGCAATTTTTCCAATACCTTGTAGTCGACGAAAGTTATAGGTAACTTTTTTTTTTCATTCAAGTGCCACTGTAGCATGATCTATGTGATGCACTCGGTGGATAGTTAGAGAGAAGTGTAGACGACGATTGATGATAGCCATCCTCAACCTTGGCAAGTTCAAGTCCAACACCCCGGGTCTGATTAGCCCTCATGTGCTCCCCTTCAGATTCAGCCCGCATAATACAACTAAGAACTACAGTTTCCTAGCCCAGGCGTGGGTTGCCAATCTATTCAGCGAGGAAACCATCAGCAGTGACGAGCCTGGGAAGGTCAAACTTGGTGGCTACGACCCATTTATTATCGCCGATACCGTAAATTATATGCCAATCACAAATACTTATTCGTCGGCCCTCTTCTGGGGGATTGATCAGTTGATCACGTATGGCGGAGAGACGATCTTACCTAGCACGGCTGGTACCGTTGACACTGGCACCACTCTGATTCTCATAGCTACTATAATATCTATATCACTTCCTTCCACAATCCATTTGAACCCTATTCATTCTGATTGGTACATACGCATTCCAGTCATACCAACCGGCAATGGGTGGTATCATGGATAAGCCCACTGAGCTATTGCGCATCATACAATCATAATACAACAACCTCCAAATGCTCAGCGCTGATTCTCGGTGGATGGAGGAAGACAGATCTGTCCCCAAAAGGGGACATCGCTGAGGAACGTTATGTGCTCGTCGCCATCGACGGGTCTGTCGCAGCACTGGCCACAAAAGGGGCTATTACCAAATCTAGAACATAATCTCAGTTGATCTCTAGTTCCTCTGCACTACCCAGCCGTTTCTTCTGAAGTCACACCTGGAGATCTCCATCGTACTTGTCCACAAATTTACTCAATGCATCTGGATGATACGCACGAGCTTTGGGATTTGAGAGGTCCGACCATCTTATTCGGATACACTATAAGAGCATCCGCAAGGCCATCATTGTTGTTTATCCTGTGCCTCAGGCTCGAGCCGTTGACTTCGGATGACTATTTGGCATGCACAATTGCCCACCACCGAGAACATCGGCGTTGCTGGCATCGATCACCCTTCTTGCTTCCGTTTTATTTCCTTGGGGTCTGCACGTCCGGTCGTCCTCAATAAACTATTCCGCTATCCTTGGTTGTCGTGAAACATAAATTCGATCTCATGAAGACTGTTTAGACATTCGGCACGATGTGCTTGAGTGGGCCACCATCAGGCGAGGTATGTAACATGTTACCCAAAATGAGGTTGAATCTTGGCTGCGGACTAGTGGAACAACTACAATCACACCCTACGTACTATTATGCCGGTCCGCCTGCGGTCTCACCTTACCGAAATCTTTTGGTCAAACATTCTCATCGGGATCAAGAGCTGCTGCAATATTTTACCGGTCGGAGATATATTCACACTGTTCCGCCTTTGTTCTTCGAAACCTTGCTACATAGCCAAACCGTTCGAGACAGTGGAAATGACTAGGAAAGATGATGCGACCTCGAGAACAAAACTGAGGACAGCTGTCATTGATCATCTCGCTGTGCACTTACAGCACACCTCTTATAGATCATAGGCTAGTGGGTTTCGTGAACCATATATCTCCGACGCAATATCTTAGAGCCTGGATAAATCTGCAGCGTTTCATGGCCCAAGGTACAGTCTAAGGCACATATACACACTGTCGGTTGGGGAGGTCTATAACCATTTAGCCTCTGGGAAGGTCGTGGTCACCTGGCTACAGCTAGCTTGCTGATACGGTCGGAGTGGCCGAAACCTGAATCTGCAGCTGTAGTACCACTAAATAAATTGCCGAGTATCGCGTGACTCAGCTCGATCAAAAGTGATGTTGTGTCCGAAGCGGTCAATGACCTGCCGGACAGTCTAAAAGGCTTCAAGGTCATCTAAGAAAAGCCCGCTAGTTCGACGTTCATCGACAGTGCCTACCATCGAAAAAGAAACAAAATATCACTGTTACTTTTCAAACGCTGTCGCCGACGACAATATGACCCTCCCACCTGAGCTCGCGAAGCCAATCGATTGTCTCATGATAGACAATTTCGACTCCTTCACATGGAATCTCTATCAGCAGCTCTGTCTACTTGGCGCGAACGTCACCGTCATTCGCAACGATGATATCCCATCGTCTGCCCTTCCCGAGCTGAACATCAGGAACCTCATCGTCTCACCGGGGCCAGGCCACCCCCACACGGATTCCGGTATTTCACGGGATGCCATTCGCCACTTTGCTGGCAAAGTGCCCGTACTGGGCGTGTGTATGGGGTTGGAGTGTATCGTAGACGTGTATGGCGGCGAGATCAGGTAAGGACCCCTTGATTTTCAATCGCTTGTGTGCACCCTTCTCATCCCCCCTTCCTCCGACTTTCTCCCCCTCGTTCTCCGTGGAATCTCAGGTACGCCGGAGAAATAAAGCATGGAAAGCTCAGTCCTATTCGACACGACGAGCGTGGTATATTCCGAGACATCTCTCAGGGTATCCTTTCCACTCGCTACCACTCACTCAGTGCCTCCCTTGCCACCCTCCCATCTGAGCTCATGGTCACATGTGCATCAGAGGAAAGTGGCGTAATTATGGGTGTACGACACCGCACCTTTACCGTCGAGGCCGTCCAATACCACCCCGAAAGTATTCTATCCCAGTCCGGAGACACGCTCTTGCGCAATTTCCTTGCTCTCCATGGGGGTACTTGGACTGAGAACCCTGACTCACGCGTCCTCGATCCATCTCTTCCCCCTTTCCCATTCGAGGCCCTCAAGGGTAAGGTGGACGATACGCCCGTTACACGCGCTAAAGTATCTAGTATCCTCGGAAAAATTTATAAACAGCGCACCCAAGATGTTTCCCGTGCTAAATTTACACCTGGCATGTCCCCTTCCGATATCTCAGCTCTCTTGGCCATGCACGTCGCCCCTCCCCTCGTTTCCCTCGTCTCCCGTCTTCGCGCCCGCAGGCCAGCCCTCATGGCTGAAATTAAGCGTGCAAGCCCCTCCAAGGGTGATATTGCACCCTCTGCCAATGCGGCTCTCCAAGCTCGGACATACGCCTTATCGGGCGCGTCCGTTATATCCGTACTCACAGAACCCACGTGGTTTAAAGGGTCTCTCCTCGACATGCGTCTAGCCCGCCAGGCTATTGACAATTTGCCACATCGTCCTGCTATCCTTCGCAAGGATTTCATACTGGACGAGTATCAGATCGCAGAAGCGAGGCTTCATGGTGCAGACACGGTGCTACTTATCGTGGCGATGCTCGCCTCAGAAAGGCTTAGGGAGCTTTACGCTTATTCGCTGTCACTTGGAATGGAACCCCTGGTGGAGGTTAACAACGCTCAGGAGATGACACTCGCCCTCGAACTCGGTGCAAAGGTGATCGGCGTGAACAATCGCAACTTGCACGACTTTGCAGTGGACATGGGTACAACGAGTCGACTAGCAGATATGGTGAAGGAGCAGGATGTCATCCTGTGTGCTTTGAGCGGCATAACCTCTCCTGGGCACGTCAAGCAGTATGCCGAGCAGGGTGTCACTGCGGTCTTGGTCGGCGAGGCCCTCATGCGTGCCAAGGATACAAAGGCATTCATACACGAGCTGCTCGATTGGCCTGCTCAAGATGCAAGCAATGAGCCACGTGTTCCGCTTGTCAAGATTTGTGGTGTGAGGGATGTAGATGAGGCGAAGGCGGTGGCGCATGCGGGTGCAGACTTGATCGGGGTCATGTTTGCGCCTGGCAGTAAGCGACGAGTATCGATCGATACGGCACGCGATATCGCCAAGGCAATTCGTACCCTCCGATTTGATGCAAATGCAGAAGGGAAGGGTGCGGACGAGCCCGCTCCCCGAACGAATGGACAAGAACAATCTTTCACAGATGTGAATGAAAGCTGGTTCGCAGGGCATGCGCGTCAGCTGTCAGCAAGTGCCGATCGCCCACTCGTAGTCGGCGTGTTCCAGAACCACACACTGGAAGAGATTCTCTCGATCGTTTCATCAGTCCAACTGGATCTCGTTCAGCTGCATGGAAAGGAACCTTTGGAATGGAGCAAGCACATTCCAGTACCTGTGATCCGGGCTTTCCATGTCAGCGCGAACGGCGGTGGACTTGAGGATCTAACGAGGCCTGGGTTGCACCAATTCGTACTATTGGATTCGCAGAGGGCAAGCGATGGCCTGAGTGGCGGAAGCGGGAAATTGGTCGATTGGGATCTGGCAGCCGACGTGGTCAAAAGAGGAGAGCTCTTAAGTGCCGGAGAACCCGCCGTCGGTGACAAGACCAAGCAGGACGGTGTGCGATTGGAAAGCGCGAGCAGCAGTGATGGCGAAACATTCGGCTCGAAATCCGGCATGCCGATCATCCTCGCGGGTGGCCTTAAGCCAGACAACGTTGCGAGCGCTGTGGAGAAGGTTCGACCCTGGGCGGTGGATGTAAGCGGTGGGGTGGAGACCTCCGATGGAAAACGCAAAGATTTGTCGAAGGTCTCGGCCTTTATTCAAGCTGTAAAGGAAGTTCATTTGTTGTAGGCCGCTGGTCGCCGTGGTTCTGTATAGATTTGGGCGCAACGTTACATAGGAAAGGATGTCATCCTGAAACCTCTTGTGCGGTCTATGAAGATGGGATAATGTTCATTGGTAATTTAAAGAACGTGACCTACTACCCTCCTAGTCCGCTTGCGTCTCGTAGTGATTCTACGCAGCCCAGACGGTGCCTACTGCAGTGTATTTTATACACCTAATGAACACCAGATCATTTGAAAGTTAGTAGCTGTACCGCTCCAGTGGGTAGGGCGCAAACGGAGGCGGACCACGAAGGCGGACATGCCCGTGTGTTAAAATGGTAACGATGAGTTCGCTGGGTAGAATGATCAGAAGTCAGATGACAACGTTGGCATAATGGCGTAACATTTGCAACCTTCTGTGGTACCTTCTTGTATGGGATAGTAATACAGCAAGCGGAAACTCATACCATGCACTTTTTACCCATGATTTAGCACGAACTTACCGCAAGTATCATTCAATATTCGGCACTGGTCCCTCAAACATCCCCCAAGCTGCTTAGTCTGCCATACCGCCCTTCGACTCGTGGATTCGTGCTTCGATTGTGCTTGGTCCCAGTCACACGGGGGTTTAACTTTGTTCGGCAGGTTACGAAGAGAGAGAGGGCTGCGCCCCGCGTGCCCCGCGGGCGCCTAGGCATGTTGCAGCGGATGTCCGGTGGACGGGTGGCAGCCCGTATTAATAACTAGAAAGTAGGAGGTCATACGGCCAGCAAAGATTGAATAACTCGTGTCTGGAACAATGAAAACAAAAAATGCAGGAGGGGAAGCGACTAGTATTACGCCATCGTTAAAAGCCTCAGTGGGCTAGTAGATCCGTGCGCAGTTAAGTGGCGGCAGGGTTTCGAGCCTCGACTCTGCATCGACCGCATGACTTGCTGGTTGCAAAGGGTCCACTGAAATTAACCCCCTTCTCGAAACTTGCAAGAGCCGAGCCGCCCGTTAAGTTAGAACTTGAAAGTGACGTCGCCGGGACACGTTCGCTCTGTCTTACCAAGTAAGCTAGGTATTTGCAAAATAATTGAGCTTGGTTTTTTCAGTCTCAGGCAAATGGACCTGCGCGTCTAGATACATATCCATCGCGATTGGCGACCGTCAGATCCCTCTGCGAGTCGGGTTGCATTCCGGCCCCTACCGATGACTGGACGTTGATTGTGGCGGGCGGGATTTGTCAAAAGGAGGGTCCCTGGCTGTCGCCCTGGCGCTGCCAGGTGGCCAGATGGCTGTTAAGTTGTTGCATAGCGCCCAAGTTGGTTTCCCGACTGGCACCCGGCGTGTGTCTACCCGTTGATGGGCAATGGCACTCTCCGAAAAGTCACAATAGCCCCCATTTGAACGAGCATGCCCTTTGTCTGGGTCCGTTCTAGGCTTTGATATGAAACTAGAATTACCCCCGCCGCGTGGAGAAAGTCGCCCATTGCATAAATGGGCCGCATTCAGAAATTGCAATCTCGTCTGTCATCTCTTAAGTAGAACGTTTCTCCAACGTTGCCTTCCCTTTCCTCAACTACCCCAAGCGATTTTCCCTTGACCTCGGAGTACGTTGAAATTTTGATTCCGTTTTTCCTCCGCGATTGGGCTAATATGTCGTGCTGCAAGCAGCTGACTATCTTAGGAGGTCTGGCCAGCTACTATCTGATTACTGCCCCGACGATGGACCACTCCGACTTCCACGTCCCTTTCCATTGTCGTCAGCTGGCCCCATCCGATGTTTCCGGTTGGGATTATAGTACCGTACCCGAGCTCGTTGTGCGTATCGTCTACTTGTTTTCATAATCATTTCAAAACTCGCCTCTACTTGATTGCTTCTCTCTGAAGTTCCACCCCTTGCCCGATATGCACAATCGCTCTCAGGTAGAACTCTTGTTGACCCAGTCTGGTATACTCTAGATCCTGCCCGAAGGTATGCCCCAAGAGGACGCCCAAGCACTTACCGAACATCTTCGGATGATTCACAATGCCGCTGCATCCATATCGTCTTCCTCCTCACCGGGCGAGATTGAGCAATACGAACGGCGCCTCCGTCAGCTTGCGCTCGACTGGGAAAACTACTATCTGCCAAAGTACCCTGGCCCGTTTTTCCGCGTTCGCGTCGCAGACGTGCGCGCTGCTGGTGGATCGTGGAATACTGCTTTGATGTTGTACAACGAGGTACGTCACGGAGTCAATCGTCCTAGAAGTTTGCCGATCATCTCTTCTTCTTACGTAGGTTCTAGGTTCTCTCAATAGCCCTGAGAGTGCTTCGTTTGCCGAATTCGTATCTACGGTGCGCACCCGTGCTCAGGACGACGCAGAACTACAAGGTACGCTATTCTCTTGATCTCGATTCCCCACAGATATCTCTGATCCGTCGCCCTCTGTATCCGACTCCCGCGACCATTGGTTGTCTATATATACTTACCGTCCTGCGATTGACTAGTAGCCCTGAAGAATAGGCACCTTATGTACTTCCAGCCCTGGAAGCCCGCCAGACAGCACGCCAATCCTTTCTCGTGGCCGATGCTACCAGCTGCTGCACCGGATATGTTGGCGGCTTGGCGCACGTCGACGACTCAGAGACAGTATCTGAACTACAACTGGGTACAGAGTATCCAGCTCGATCAGGATTGCCTGCTGACCAGTCGGGTGCGTTTGGAGTGTTGCGCCACTTCGTTCTGCCTAGCTCTACGCTCTGATCTGTACTGAATATCCAACAGTCGACAGAAGCGTTAACGAAGTACGGTTTCCAGTCGTCTCGTGTGGAGTTCACGCAAGACAGTGAGCTGAGGGATCCAGATGTTGTCGTGGAAGCGTTGCAAGATATTGAGTGTGTAAGAGCGGTCTTTCTGCTCTGATTACGCTGCGGCTTCTCTGATATGGCCCTTGTCGCCAGGCATATGCCGACATCCTCAAAATGAAAGACCACGTCGAACTCTTAACACCTGAAAATCTCAAGGCGGTACACGCCAAGCTCATGAAGTCGCTCAAAATACAAATCGTTGAGAATAGTATCCACAGCAGCGGTACGACTGGCCATAGCAGCAACAACGCCGGAACCCTTCACTACGTCAACGCGGGTTGTACACGACAGACAACGCAGAAAACAGCGGTCGTGCGAAACAACCACTATAACCTTGCCTTTTGCCCAGTTAAGTTCGTGGATCAGCAACTTGACTACATCTGTAAGATGGGGAGGGTGCGTATTTTTGTTTTTGTGCTATAACCCACCCGGCTCGCGCTTGCAACGGGGCTTGACATTCAATTCCACACAGCAATACATTGCGAGGTGGCGAAATCCGTTTGCAACTGCAGCTTGGTTGCATGTCACCTTTACGCGTTGTCATCCATTCGATGTAAGTCTTCCCTTTCTCCGTGCTTCAAGGGAGTCTCGTGCTTACATTTGGTACCCGCAGGATGCAAATGGTCGGATGGCCCGTCTTGTATCCTCCATCCCACTCTTGCGCTTTGGCTTTCCACCCCTTTGTATCACTCCGAATGGAAGGAGAGTTTACTATGACAGTATGAACATTGTACGTGTAGTTGCCTTCCTCCGTGGCAGGGCGGATTCACTGATGTGTGTTATCAGGCTTGGGAGGGCGACTATCAGCCCATGATAGACTGCTTTGTAGATTGTATCAGGGATGCTATGACTGATGTGGACAGGATAATGGGTTGAGAAATGTTACGCGATGACTATATGACTTTTCTGCGCCTCTCGGTTCATATCCGATCCGTCTTATCGTTCTCTTCACTGTTTGTTCTGGAATGGTGTTATCTCATATGGTATTCACGCTTCGTGTATCATGCTTTTGTGTTCTCCGATGACCTAAGTTTCATGCTACCTTCTAATTCTGAGTTCCTCCATAACGTCAACACGTTACAAATTGTAACCGCAGTTCTCAAACGAGTAACACGATTGAAGTAATGCAACGGGGTACATGGAGCAACGTATCATCCAGACCAATAACGTCTCATTCATACAATCCATGAAAAATGGTTTTGTTGTAATTCGACTTTTTCCTCAATAATCCAACATTATATCTGTATCTGCGAAATTCCAGAATAACTTCATCGTGCCCCTAGATGCGTGCCTGCAAGCTCCCTCTCAAGTTCATGACTAGGGTCGTCCATAATTGGCGACGGCGGGCGTTGGTAGAACCCATCAGCAGTCGGACCGCTTTCCACAACGGGAGAATTGAGGATCTCCTCGCGAGTGGGGATTGGAAGACTAAGTGATAAGTTAGCAGCGTATCATCAAGGAAAATGTGTGTCCGACATTAGCATACGTACCTGTCTTGTCTGCGAATCTGACCCGCAGCCCTAGCCTGCTGTCGGACTTCTGCTCTAAAGCTGTTGACTTCTTCCACGATTAGCCTCTTCATGCCCTCGATGGAGTCTTCTTCCTCGAAGAAGAAGTCGAATTTCTGTAATCGGTAATGAAGCCCGGCGTCCGTAAGATGAAAGGAATGGGCACATACTGATGGGCAAAGAGGTTCGTCAGCAGGATCATGCCACACTTGGAGGTAAGGGTGTCTAAGGGCATCTTCGCAGCTAATACGCTTGGCAGGGTCAAAGCAAAGCATGCGAGAAAGGAGATCGATGGCCAAAGGGTTTGCATGTGGGTAAAGGGTCGCAAATGGGACTCGGGGTTTGATGGGAAGAGACCGGATATAATCTTGGGCCTAAAAATGCATCTTATCAGATATAAGCGCCCGCATTACATCGAATTTGTGACTGACGCGAGGAGATCCGACACGCCTGAGGGTATCTTCGGACGGCGTGCCCAAGTAGTGTAAGATCTGATTTAATTGGTCGACATAACTAGCAAACACGGGGTGTCAGCTTGCAAACCGGAGGCAACAAGCCTGACCTACTCTCTCCCTTTGAAGATCGGCTTTCCCCCCAGGAGCTCTGCAAGGATGCAACCCACAGACCAGACATCAATCGCAGTCGTCTATGACCGACGTCAGCTTCAGGGGAATGATCCATGTGAATCTGCATACATAGTTGGCGAAGCTCAACATAATCTCAGGAGCCCGGTACCATCTGGTGGCGACGTACTCCGTCATGAAGCCCTGGTTACCAGCAGATTTAGATGTGCCTCCGCCAGGAGTGTAACCTCGTGCAAGACCGAAATCGCAAATCTTCAGTTCACAATCAGCGTTGACAAGGAGGTTTCCGGGTTTCAGGTCACGGTGGAGAACATTAGCGGAGTGGATATATTTCAGACCGCAAAGAGTCTGGTACAGGAAGGACTGGAAGTGCGCATCTGTGAGCGGTTGTCCTGAGCGAATCTTAGCACGATGTCAACCGAAATGATCGACTAGTAAAGCATTGCAGCTCACTATCGCGTGGAGATCCGCCTCCATGAGTTCTTCCTGCGGTTTTTTACCAGACATCCATATCAGTGGCTTGGATGGTTGACAAGTGGTTCACTAACATAGAGGTAGACTTCATCGAAGTTTCCGTTCGGCTGAAATACGATATCCATGTCATAGAGACATGTAATCTGAAAGTATCGTCAACTCCTGAGGATCAGTGGTCGAATGGATAATAAGAACTACATTTTTATGACCCCTGAAGTGGTGTAGCAACCTCGGTAGATTTTGTCAGGCTATCGCAGCGCAGAGTTCAAGGATCGAACGGGGCCTACTTTATCTCGCGAAGGCACCGTTTTGTCAATATGCGCTGATTAGGAATGTCGCATGAGCATGACAGGCGGGAGGAGCCCGAGAGAGCCGAAAACACTCGCCTTTGTGTTGATGTTGGTGATCTTCTTGATCGCACAACCCTCCCCCGAGCGACGATGCCGTGCAGCAATAACACACCCATAGGCGCCTTGACCGAGCTCCTTGACAAACTCATACTCGGAGTCGACGACGAAGGTCGAGTTGAGGGCGGTGAAACTGTGCCTTTGGGGTGGCATGAGTTTGATGTGTCGATGGTCGTCGATGGTCGAAAGATGGGAAGAAGATGCAGTTCGAGTTGTGCTGATCTAAATGACAATATTTTTATAAGGGTCCTCCCCAGTATATCATTGCGATCTCGGCAGGGATTTCTATGAATACCGGAATATCTGGTTGGCAAGCTCCATATCGATTCGGATCGCCGCCAAACAAAACTAATGTACATCTAATGCCCGTCTTCTGGCACAGCAATCATCGCCCAGAACTCGACATGATCCTACAAGCCTAGACAGTCACCATAGTGTAGTCTTAGTGAAGGAGGTCGGCGGAAGTCTCAGACATCCTACTACGACGAGTGGAATCTATTGACATCTGCACAGCTGATTTCCGCTCTCGGTTTCTTCGTCGGCACGGTGTGAGCATGGGCCGGCGCATGTGCATCACCTTGTGCGGACCTGTATTGCGGGCATTACCTAGTCTCCGAGGCGTATCCTGAACCGCCTCAAGACTTCTTCTCATATAGATGCGGTGTTGATCGCAGTATGCAATTGCAGTGGGGATTGTCAGTTTCCAATGCTAAGTATTGGAGGACTCCCCTAACAATATGATGGTTCCTTGATCTCACTCGTTATGGGCAGCACTTAGTGCAGATTTCGGATATGAGCGCGTTACGAGCTCTGGGCGACGACCTGAAGTAGGGATAATTCGAATCCGTAGCACCGCTCCTACGACCTTTCCTTGACCTCTACACATGCGCTCCCACTCTCCAAGCACCTGCTACTGCACTCGGACATTCCCCAGTTCATTTTTACCCTAATGACCTGTGCGAGCCACGTCATAGCCAGAAGGACCGGCACCTCGACGAGAGGTCCGATGGTAGCTGCGAGAGCCTGGTCAGAGCCTACTCCATATGTAGCAATCGTCACTGCGATCGCTAGTTCCTGTAAGATCCCGTTAGATTTGATGTGATAAGCCGAGGGTGATCGCGTACAAAATTGTTACTCGCTGCTGTGAAAGCTTGTACAGCAGTTGTTTCATAGTCGAATACCTTGCCCCGACTAGGCTTGCAGACCTCCTTTCTCGCAAGTGTCCACATGAGAGCCACTGCACCGGTCCACATAATCACGAAGTATAGCACGAGCGGTACAATAACTCTCAGTACCTTTCCAATGTTGGTGACGATGTGGTGGCCTTGGTAGGCAAACAAGACGATAATAGTATACAGGAGGCCGAGAAGTGCCACTGGTGAGAAGAACGGGATGAAGGTGTGGTGGAAGAAATGCGGGGACAGGCGGAGGAGCGTAAGACGAATGATGACGCCAGCGAGCAGTGGGATGCCAAGATACTACAGGCACGATAAGCCGAGGAAAAGCAGAGTTAGTAGGAATCAGAGCCGTAGGGTGAAAAACAACTCACAATCAGTACTGAGATCGCCACTTCGCCATACTGCAAATGCACTTGCTCTCCGTTCGCCGCACCTCCGAAGACGTCCACAAAGAGCACCGCAAACGGAGAGTACAGAATGATCTGCAACACAGAATTGACAGCTACCAAAATTGCACAGTACTCTGTATTACCACCCGCAAGTCCATTCCAGATCATGACCATGGCGATACAGCGTGCGATGCCGACCATGATTACGCCTGTCCGGTAAGTTGGGAGGTCTGGCAGTGTCGCCCATGCGAGACCCAGCATAACAAACGGACCAATGATCCAGTTGAGGACCAGAGAAATAGAAAGGTGGACCCAGAGTTTGCGAGATAGGAAGGTATGTGCAAGGGATTCGTATCGGACCTTCGTAAGGATGGGGATCATCATAACAATGAGACCTACAGCAATGGCTGGCAGTGTTCACATCGAACGCAGCGGTGAATATCTTGAACGACGGAAAGTGTATCCATAGGTTGTACTTACGAACGGATACGCTGTGGAATTGTACGGTGTCGAAGGCATGCTGTACGTTTTTGACGAAAACACCGATAAGCACGCCAACGACCATGGACAGGAAGATAAGCGGGGTGAGGAGACGGTCGAGCAGGCTAAGCTTTGCAAAGAGGGCTGCAAAAATTCATTAGTGTAACCACCAACTCGGAGTGGATGAAGGGCGCACATCTTGGCTGCGAGGCCAGCTCATGTTGGGCAGTATTCGCCATTGGTAATTCAGTGCCCTGCTCGCTGTTCATGATCACGAACAAACTCTTAAGGATCGTTCACTTTGCTAGAGGCACCTCAGAGAGACTCTCCAACGGACAGCGTGGGGACGCTTTTGAAGCATGAGGCCTAGGCACGGCGTAACCCTTGTGTGACGTGCAGCTGTCAGTTGGTGTAGCGGGTCGTCAATATTACAAAGTAGACAGATGCACCTGCAGTTGACTTCAACCCTGTAGTGGTCGTCCAGTAACTCTGCATTTCTGATGCAGTCACGACAGGTAACATAAATCCTCTTCATGGTGAGTGCACTGGGTAATTTCGTAAGGGTGATACCGAAGCAAGGTTCAGAGCGCCCGCATTTGCGAAGCTCGTCGTGTCCGGTCCAGCCTAAGGTAAGATGAGGAGCAGAACGTGCCCTTTTCGCCATGTACTAATAATATTTGCCTGCTCTCGGCTCTTCGGTTTACTCGAGTATGCAATGGTCATGACTTTGCGAGCCGGAATTCCTGCCCAAAATGCTACAAACACCGCATCTAAGTTTAGTGTATGATTTGCCAACGCTTTGTGCGTTCGAGCCAACTCGTTGAGTGCTGCAGGGTTGCATACGCTACCGACCGCACCGGACGAATGGATGGGTGAAATCCGTTCCGAAAAGGTCTCCTTCCCTTAGGTCGGATAGTCGAGTCTGACTGGTTGCCTATATATTTGAATATTGTTGTAGTAAGTAGCTGTTTTTCCTCTCTCTCTCTCCCTCTCGTACTGAACTTGTTCTCGCCTGCATTTCAACTAGTTACCTATTGGCGATATCTGCTCAGTGTGTGTTTATATCGGTGCACCTGATTTTTGGAGAACTGAGGCGCACCACCCGCACGGCAGGGCCCGATCCTTGGAGGATGTGGAGTTCCACGGAATCCTCGCGGTAGGTGCACGGTCGCACCTATGATCACGTGCACGGAGCCAGTGTCATGAGCATAAAATGAGCGTTCTACAGCCCACAGCATTCTGGGATTCATTCAAGAGATATGATCTAGCGATGACGTCCACGAATTTCATCCATGATCAAGGTCTAGTCGCTGAGGTTTTCAGTTCCGACGCTGAGACCTCATGATGCAAAATGTCAGAGGCCGCCCTTTCTTAACAGCGCTTTCTGAGTTGGAATGGTTTTCCAACACAGAAATAGCGGCTATTATCGGTGCAATATCGGGGTCGCTTCGAAGCCTGGCGGAGAAGCGCGTCGTCTACGGCCAGTGATGGCAGGGGGAACGCTGGTGCTAACACCGTGACGTATACGCCACTTGATTTTCTCTCCCTCGAATTGAATGGTCACGATTTTCTGAAGTGGGTTAAGAATGGTGCCTGACAATGTATGTTTACTAGGTTCGTGTTCGACTGCTAGCCATAGTTGATGATTTCCTGATGGCCCTGACCTTCAACATCAAAAACATCAAAGCTGATGTCGGAACAAGTATGTAAGCATACTTGCCATATTCTCTGACTCATGCACCGTGACGCAGACAACATGGATGCCATGCAAATCAGAGAGTTATTGATGTGTGTCAGATCGAAGATCCCAAATGCCTCATCCGAATCTCCTTGGACACGGCATTCGGGATCTTTGCTCTGACTGCCTTAATGATTCCATGCACGGTTGGCGTTTTGGCAATTTGTACTTTGTGTCTTGGTAGTTGTGAAAGCGTGCTAATGCTGATGTCAAATGACAGTTGCACAACTGGAAGTTTTTCTTATTGTTGCCAACTGAAAGATCGCTGCTTGATATGTCTGTGCATGGGAATCCGTAGTGCAGCTGATCTATCTTCAAAAATCATTGGCTTTCGTGTGCGAAGGGGAGTCATATTCCCGCCCGTTTTGCGGAGATTTCGTAATCGCGAAACTACAATTACTCGCCTACACATCTACACCAATCCCAATACCACCTCTCCTTCTCCCCGTCGCTTCCCTCCAAATCTCCTTCCACGCCTTCATCGAAGTCCAGACAGGAGGGTGCAAGTGGGGAAGGCGTTTGTGCTGTGTTAAAGGTTGAACAGGGTTAGTCTTTGAGTGCCGATAGCGGATGAACGGAAGAATATTCGACCGCGGGTCAAGTAGACAGGCCGGCGCAGACACCAACTCTATAGAGGGACAGCCTTCCGACGATGCAATCAATCGCTGCGGTCGCCGCATCAGGTTCACCCAATAGGAAATCAGTCATCAAAATCCGCTCATATACCCTACCAGAGCATCACTTTGACATGTCGAGACCCGATGTCGTCGTAGCATAGCTTGATCACCGTGGACATCAGACTGATTTACAAGCACATACCGCCATCTGACATACGACCCCCAAACTGATAGTTGATACATTGTTTTAGGCAACCTGCAACCTCTCCTTCAGCTCGATAAGATTTATGATTCCCACTCCCGCGGCTTTCATGTGTTCGTACTCTTCACCGCCGGGAGAAACGCTACGCACGCCATCAGTCACGACAAACGTGTTGAATCCAGCTTTCGCTGCGTCAATGGCGGTGGCTTTTACGCAGTAATCGCCAGCGAGACCGACAAGGTAGACATCCTTCACCTTGTTGTGACGAAGGTTGTCTTCGAGCTCTGTGCGCAGGAGATGCCACGGGTCTTTAAATGCAGAGTAGCACTCCACCCTGGGATGTGTGCCCTTGTGGATGATATCAAAGGTATCATCCACTTTTAGGCCGGGAATGATCTCCACCCCTGGTGTGCCTTGTACGCAGTGGTCCGGCCAGAGCGTCTGTGCTAGACCCTTCTCTGTGATTGTCCTGACGTCGCCTCCCGTCTGCGCAACCAGATCCTCTGGTGGGTAGATAGAAATAGTCTCGAACAGAGGTTTCCCATGGGTAGTTGCAAAGGAAATATGACCAGGAGGATGGAAGTCCTTGGATGCGACGCGATAAGCGAATGGGAGGTCGATGATTTCGTTGATAGGGCCCAGAAGCTCCGTTGCTCCTGGCACAGCGAGACTCCCAGTGACGAAGTCGACTTGCATGTCAATGATGATGAGGGCGGTGCCAGGGATGATAGCTTTGACTGCCATCGTATCGAACTCTGTTCGTTAAGAACGAAGTTAGAGACGAGGTTATGAGTTCCTGTTTCAAAGTCGATTTCTCGGTAGTCAGAGTAGTAGCCGCGGACATATTAGTTTGTCCGCTGAAGTCATCGAGTCGTTCGACGTCTGCGAGCCACCTCCAGGATGACCCTACCGAGACGAGCCAAAACATGGTCGGGGTATGATGAACATTCTGATACTACGACCGCCTCCGACCACGAGGATGACGTTCACAAGGCCACAATACATAAGAAGCTACACGTGGACATCGTACACGAAGTCAATCGCCAGGCCAAGTTATTCGATGCCCAGGCACATGAAATGAAAATGGTATGCCTCGTCCTCGTGTCTGTCACTGCCTCTCAGTGCTGGTAACATATGGGTGCGTAGAAGTCTCGACGACTGTTCTTCGTTAAAGCTCGCTTTCTTTTCCCGTTGGGTATCATCGGTGCGTCGTCCGTTAGCCCGCACGCTACGCGAGGTTATTCACGGGCCTTCATAGTCGGTGTTCTCCTAGGGTTTATAATCATTCAGCCATACGACATACATGAAATGCACGCGAATCTTGCTCTCTTAATGGAAGAGTACGATCTATCACTCAAGATACCGGGGATTGACTTGTCTCGTGTCGAGTTAGAATGGCAGCGGTTTCGCAGCAACATTCCGGAGTTGTGGAAACTTAATAACGACGGGCGTGAATTCCAGGTTGGAGAGGCTATCAAGGCCCGCGGCCTGACTGCACAGTATCCGGTCGTACTCGTTCCTGGAATAGTGTCGACGGTAAGCTTCAATTGCTGGCCCAAAGTCCAGGACATCCTGACTATGTCGCGGGGCTAGGGACTCGAATCGTGGTCAACCTCCCCGGAATATCGCGCCTTCTTTCGCGAAAAGCTCTGGGGAGGGTTTAATATGATTTCCCAAGTGACGTTTAACCGCGAAAGATGGATGACTGCCATGATGCTCGATCCTGATACAGGTCTTGATCCGCCAGGCGTAAAGATCAGAGCTGCGGAAGGTTTAAGCGCAGCGAGCAATTTCATGAAAGGATACTGGATATGGTATAGCGTCCCGATCCATTCTTATATGTGACTACAATTTCACTGACTGCGAGTGATATTGTGAAGGGCCAAGATCATTGAAAATCTGGCAGTTGTAAATTATGACACTAATAATCTTTATCTTGCACCGTATGATTGGAGGTTGTCGATGTGGAACCTGGAGGAGCGGGATGGCTACTTCTCTCGTTTGAAAGCGACTATCGAGGGCTTGAAGTAAGTCGTTCACTTTATCTGCAACATCCTATTTCTGACTCGGCCTGAGCAGGAAACGTCAGAAGAAAAGAGTTGTCATAGCTGCACATTCTATGGGTAGTACGGTGCGTCCGTAGCCAGCTCTGATGGAGACAGACTTATACTTGAGGTCATTTCAGGTCATGTTGGTGAGAATATCGTCCAACTAACGTTCCTTTCAAGTTCTTACTCAGGTTTAAGTATTTGTTCGTATCTCCATGGACTATGAGAAGTCTATTGGTTTGCTCATATCATAGATTAGTTTCAAATGGGTGGAGTCTCCTGAACACGGCGGCGGCGGTCCTGATTGGGTTGAGGTTCGTGTCTTTAAATGTGTGATTGGTACAGTCTAATTTGCTTCCCAGAGCCACATTGAGACTTTCATCAGCATTGCCGGCACACATTTGGTAGGTTTTTTCCCTTTACACACATGTTCTTGCTCAACAACGTTTTCTGTGTACAGGGCGTAGTAAGTACTGTTAGGGCTGTTGTTCCGCTGCTAAGCCGTTTGATACTCCTTAGGCCAAGGCGATGTCCGCATTTCTTTCAGGTGAAATGAAAGACACGGTCCAAATGAACCCCGCTGGGGCTTATGGTATGTAGGAGAATTCTGTTTGTATCTATGAAAGCGTATAACCTATGTGTCATCGACTTATCTAGTCCTCGAGCGCTTTTTTTCAAGGAAGGAACGGCGGAAATTATTCCGGAGTTGGGCCGGTAGTGCGAGTATGTGGGTTAAGGTAACGTCAGACTGTATATATTTCCTGTCCTGTTTCACTTGAACCTGAGGCAATGCTTTTGCGCTTCTGCAATACCACACCAGGGTGGTACGGCTGTATGGGGAAACGAGAATTGTGCACCGGATGACGAACCAGACTCGACACACACGCATGGTGAGTTGATCGCGTTTAGACGGTCTCTCCTGGATGCACGGCAAGTGGAGGGCAGTCGGCTGGTCGACGAAGAGTTGGTGCCGAAGAAGAATATGACTGCGACGGACGTGGGAACGTGGATTCTCAAGCGCACACCAGCGAGTTTTCAGGTATGTGCATGCGTCGAATTACTACACCCGTGTGTCTTCAGAGAACTAAACAAAATTTCGTCATGGTGTCTTTCTTTAACTTAGAAAATGATGGCGACAAACTATTCGTTCGGTATAGAGCGCGATGAAGAAGTACTCGAGAAGAATGATTTCGATCATAGGAAATGGACCAATCCACTAGAGATCAGGTACAGTGCCAGCCCTCTGCGTGTGTTTAGTATGCTTATTATTGCGAACACTTGCAAGACTCCCTAATGCGCCGACTACACGATTCGTTTGCGTGTATGGCCATGGGAAAGAAACGGAGGTGAGCATGGCCCCCTGGCATATGTATGCGTTCCTGCACTGATATCCTCTCTTCCCCGCCAGAGGTCTTACTGGTTGGTTTCTACACGAAAACCCAGCGAGCAATTTGTGCGATAACGTGCTTCCCGTTCTACTAGGTATGCACACAAACCAAATGAATATGAGGAATCGATTGTGGAGGCCGGAGGTACACCCACATGCGCGGAACCTTCCGTTGGAACGTGCAAGGTACCCGTACCTATAGATGGTCTTAACGATTTTAACAATCGGCCGCCACCATCGAGCTGGATAGATGCCGAGTATACAGATGAAACTGTCGTGCCCAAGGTGGGGATTCCCGCCGGGTTCCTTGTTCACAAGGGTTGCGTTTTCTCACATCATCTTCTCATCTCGTGTAATAGGTCCGCAATGGAGTGAAGATGGGTGATGGTGATGGAACGGTCAGTCTATTGAGTCTTGGTGCGATGTGCGTCGAGGGATGGAAGCGCAAGCGGTGGAATCCTGGAGGGATCCGTGTCACTACTGTCGAGGTGAGTGCTTGTCAGAAGAAGCTCTTCGTTTTCCGAGTTATTTACCTACTACGATCATCGCAGCTGCCGCACCGTCCTGTGGTGAACATCCCTCGCGGGGGCGCGACCACGGGCGACCACGTGGACATTCTAGGATCGACGGCCTTGAACGAGCTTATACTGAAATTTGCTACTGGGGCTGGGGACGAGGTCGAAGATAATTTTGTGTCCAAGATACGGGAATACGCGAAGAGGGTGCAGTGGGATGGGTGATTGACACTTGATACTAATATATTTGGCTTTGGCATTTTTATTGGATGACCATGGCGCGTAAGAGCATCGAAACGGAGCTGCGACAGATATATCGTCTAGTTTATACAAGGTTACTAGCTCTTTATTGTTCAGCTATAGTCTACCTCTGTAAAGGTACATATCTTATACTGTAAATGCTCGTGAATCTTATTCCCTAGGTACGCCAGGGAGAACGTGCTATCGAAGTAACTACGTCGTTAGTCTGTTCAGCGTCTGATTATTACAGTCTCATGAATAGCTGTGAAGGTCATTTCACTGCGTGGTCCCTTTACGACTCATTGAACGATTGCGTCGAAGGTAGCTTGAAAAAAAATTGTTCTGAAGAAGCATGATGTCCGGTTTTTGTCGTAGGTCCGAGTTTGTGCCAAGAGACCAGGTATATTGAACAAACTGTTCTCGTGTACTGTCTAAGACAAAACTTTATTGGACTAGTTGCTTTCGGAATCAGTATATCTGGTGGCTGCGAATCCGACGCGGGCGCCGGTCGTGTCATAAATGCTATAATAGCGTTCCCTGTGTACGCGTGGCCATCGCATCAGCTTCGTTAAGAGGAACTAGGCAGACGGCAGAGGAACACGTACAAGAAAGCATATCCGTTCGCGAAGTCCATGCCAGATCCGGATGGAGCTCCGATGTCACCGACAACAAGATAAATGCTACCGCTACTCCCGCCAATTGCAGTGTTGAGGGACCGAGGCCATATCTGCACGTTGGGGATGAGGTCGTAGGTCTGCGTTCCAATGTGGAAGCTCAGCGTTTGGAGGTTGTTGTATTGTGATTGCGTGATGCGCAATAGCCCGGTGGCATTATCCATGACGCCACCGGTTGCCGACTGGTATGTCTGGAATGCGTCTGTACCAATCAGAATGAATAGGGATCAAAGTGGATTTGGGAGCAAAGTGATATACCAGTAGCAATAAGGATCAGAGTAGTGCCAGTGTCAACAATACCAGCCGTGCTGGGTAAGATCGTCTTTCCGCCATACGTGATCGACTGATCAATTCCCCAGAAGAAGGCTGACGAATATGTATTTGTGATCGGCACGTAATTTACGGTGCCGGTGACAACAGATGGGTCGTAGCCACCAAATGTGAGCTCGCCTGAGTTGGAATTAGCGGCCGGGATGAAGTAGACCCCCAGCACAGCACTGCTGATAGTCCCCTGGCTGTATAGATTGTCAACCACGGTGGGTACGGTGTTCGTATTGGAGACGGTGCCTTGGGTGAGGTCTGCAGGACCGAGGCCAAGGATGCCATCGATACCAGTACCGCTAAGACCCTGGGACCGGGTGGCGACACCAATGGATTGCTGGTTGATGGTAAGGCCATTTCCGAGCGATACTGTGTCTATGTATTCTCCCCCAGAAAAATTTCCGGAACCGTATGATACGGACTACGAGTGTGTCGTCAGATTTTGATACCCAAAGAGAGAAGCTGGCAGGCCTTACAACGGTGTTGCCCGTATAGTGGCTAGTGCTCGTGGGAGTGTAGGGTTGATTCGCGCCGATCCACGTATTGGAACTTCCTGTATCAACCAGCAGTGTGTCTACCCCAATAAAACCTCTTTCAGCATCTTCGCTAACGTGCAAGGGAACGGATCGGTTGCCTTGATCACACGAATATCACTTACATTCTGTCGGTGGGCTTCCGATGCCAACCTGGGCAACGTACAGTACTACGGAATTTGTGACGCTGACAGAAGCATCTCGTTTTCTGGGAGACACCGTCTTCTCTCGCATGGATTTGATACGAACACGGTCTGCGTCAGCGATGTTGGATATGCCTGTCGCATTTAGCCTGGCAATGAAGTTGAGCGTGACCTTGCTGATACCACCGGGTGTTCGGTGAACGGGGGACGCAGCGACTGCGAGCAAGTAAAGAGCGAGCAAAACCAACAGAGCCCTACAGGGAAACATGATTGGACGAGTAGCTCGGCAGCGGGGGTCCTATGGTGGGCCCATTTTATGCTGTTCTGTACAGGGAAGCTATGCAGGATAGGACTAGATATATCGGGGCTTCCTAGGTCGATTCCCGGGACCATTGGGGAATGGTAACGCCTTGGAAGGGCAAGGGTGGCGACGAACATAACAAGTCGGTAGTTCTTGCGAAGCATCTGTCTGATATGGGGGTGTGACCACCTTTGAAGGACATTGCCATGTGTAGAGTTGGTGTCTGTAAACTGGCGTAGAACCGTAAAGCGGCCATGCTGAGATCATATGCACATGCATGTCCCTGTGGTTGTGCCACAAAGACTCATTTTGAAGCTTCGCTCCAAACGTGGGTGAAAATGGACATCAAACTTGTGATCTTGCTTGTGGTGCTGAATGTTGACAATGTGTTTCTCAAACTACAAACAGGAAGCCTATGGTTAGTTTATACTACCTGAAATTATTAGACAAGAACAGAAAAACATACTGGCATCATCAGCTTAGCTGCATGGTCCCAGGTCTCAGTGACATCATGGTGAGAGTGTAGTGTCAATTTTACCTTGCCATTGAGAAGCCATTGTATGAGCATGAGGAGTGTTGAAAATATCATAATAGTTCCGACTCTAGACTTACATGTGTATCAACACATTGTACATCACATGACCTTGCTGGGTGATCAGCTCCACAAAGATGTCATTATGATATCATCTATTGTGTCATATTCCATAGTGTTCTCTGCTATTCTATACTCTATTTAGTAACTATACTGTAGCTCTTTCCTTATACATTACTGGTTTGTGCGTATAGCTACATGTATATAAACTCAGGATATCTCTCCTAGAAAAATAACAACAATCATCATTGTCTCATTCAGACAATCTACTGTTCATACAAACACTTGAGCCCCAACAAACTTTACCTTATCAAAATCTATTTGCTAACTCATAAAGGCAAGTGCTCTTGTCTAGCTCTTCGTAGTAGCCCATCCTCTGCGCAATAGGTTATGAGCCCCACATTCTAGGCATTGTGCTATTTACATGGTTTGCATAGAGTGATCACTGCTGATGGTATTGGCAGAGGAACGAGGGACAAAGGGGAAAAGGGCAAGAGCTAAGATGAGCACTTGCCTTTAGTATTGGATAGAGTGTTGAAAGTAAACGGTATTTAAGTAGAGCTGTTGAGGCTCATAGAACAGTAAGAATGAATGTGAATTCACTTAGGGGATACAGGTAGAAACCCCTTAGTTTATATACACATAGGAATGTGCACAGACCAGGTGATGCATATGGTAAGTAAAGATACTACCTACTATGTATAGTAATGAATGTCATGGAACATTATAGAATAAGTGGAGCTAAATGATGTCACTGTGGAGTGACTTAGAAAGCATGACATCATATGAGTAAAACTCATTGAATAAGCAATTCTAGAACCAGTAAATGAGAAACACCATTAACCGAATATTTCCAACACTCCCCCTTGCTCTAGAATGGTAAAGTAATGAGACCGAGTGATGAGCAATTTGTTTCGAATTTCTGCCACATAAGAGACTTGGTTAATCCATCAGCCTTTTGTCGGTCCATTGGATATATTCAATGGCAAAAAGATTATCCTGAACACATTCACAAATGAAGTGCCACTGGACATCTATATGCTTTGAACAACCATCTGAGACAGGATTCTTGGCAATAAAGTGAGCACCCATATTGTCACAGTAGAGAATAGTTTTCTCTAGTTTAAGGTCAAGTTCATTAGAAAGCATATTTAGCCATTTGATTTGTTGGGCAGAATCACATAAAGCCATATACTCGGCTTCAGTAGATGAAAGCACAATGGTTTTCTGTTTGCAGCGATTGCCAGGAAATAAGGGAGGTGCCAAGAAACATGGCATATCCAGTAGTAGAATGATGAGTATCAACATTGGCAGCCCAATCAGAGTCAGCGAATCTGAAGATATGAGGTTTGGTCCCAGAATAATAAAGCATGAGCTTTGGAGTAGAAGCAACATATTTGACAACATGTAGTGCCTTTTGTTTGTGATCTTCTGTAGGATTGGCCATATATTGTGACATGCAAATTACTGCAAAAGCAATATCTGGGTGAGTACCCAAGGCCATATAAAGCAAAGATCCAATTATGCTTTGGTATTGGGAGCAAAGTGAAGAAGAAGCTTGATATGAAGCTTTGGGTTTCTTCAGTTGGTAGCCAGAAGGTAATGGAGTGCAGACATTATGTGCATTCTCCATTTGGAATCTTTTGATCACCTTTTTGACATAAGGGATCTGATCCAGGTAGATCTTGTGCCTAGCATGGTTTCTGTGGATCTGAAGACCTAGATATTCTTTGCATTCACCTAGATCTCTAGATTCCCATTTCTTCATAAACTTGTCTTTCTTTGCTTTTAGAAGTTTAGGATGAGATCCTCAAAATAATCCATTGTCAACATAGACAAGGAAAATGACCATGCCTGCATTGGATTTAAAAATATAAATCCCTGCATCCACTTTGGATCATGTGAAGCCCATGTGAAGTAGGGAAGCATGTAAGGCTTTGTTCCATGCTAGTGCTGCTTGCTTTAAGCCATAAAGAGTGTGCAGCAACTGATAAACCTTGTGCTCTTGACCTTTAACTTTGAATCCTTCAGGTTGTTCCATATATATTTCTTCATCCAGATTGCTATAAAGAAAGGCAGTCTTGACATCCAAGGTGCTCATTTCCCAATTTTGTTGAGCAGTGAATGAAAGTAGGATTTGCACTGTCTCAAAATGAGCAACTGGTGAGAAGGTATCTTCAAAGTCAGTTCCAAATTCTTGTGTGGAACCTTTGGCCACAAGACGAGCTTTATAGTGACCATTGCTTTTAACAGCAAAAACCCATCTGCATTTGACTGGTTTGTGATCTGGTTTTGGATCCATGAGAGTCCAAACATTTCTTTCCTTGATTGATTTGATCTCGTCCTTCATAGCATCGAACCACTTCTTTTGGAGTTCCAGATTAAGTTTCAGGATGTCTTTATAATGTTCCAGAGATTCTTTGACACGTGTGGCAAGAAGGAATTCAAAGGTATTTGTAAAATACCCTTTCTGTTCTTCTTCTTCTTCTTCTTCTTCTTCTTCTCTGACATGTGTGGTTTGAGAAGGACCAGGTTCAGGTGGAGTAGTTGACTCTGGTAATGGAGTCAAAGGGGACATTGGTGGATGTGAAATCCATTCATGAGGTACAGAAGGAGCCTGTGGCCTAAGAGGTGAGGGAGGTCTCCTTTCCTCTTGAATTACTCTTTGTTGTTCCCTTGTATTGCGAGCATGCTGCTCAGCATTTCTAATCCATTCCTGTGCTGTGTCTCTATTATCACAAATATCCCTCTCGATTTGAATGGGAGGTCTATTCCCATAAATATTATCAGGTCGAGATGTAGGGATTATTCTGTGTTTAGGACGAGGTTCCCTTTGTTCAGCTTGTTCCAGGTGTGCCCTTTGGAGATTTCTATTATCACCAGGAACAGGATATGGTTGGTGTGGATGCTGAATTAAATTGGGAGGAACAGCAGGTGCTCTGTGTGGTCTGTGAGGAGGTATAACTGGTCTGTTTTGTTGACCACCCTGCTGTGGGTTTTGGTTATGAGGAGGTTGTTGTGGATTCTGTGGTTGGATTGGATGAGGTCCAAGATTGGGAGGATCAATCCCAAAGTCTGGTAGGTTTCCACCAGAATCACTAGAACCAGAGGATTGGTCATCATCAGAATCTGGGTCATTTGAGGTATTGGATTTTCTTTGTATACTATCCGAACAGAATGGAAAGGAGTCTTCTACAAACTTGGCAGTATGAGATAAAATGACCTTATGGCCATAGAGAAATCAGTAGCCTTTGGTTTTTGGTTCATATCCTAAAAAGATCATTTCAATTGCATGTGGGTCCAATTTGTCTTTTCTTTGTTCCTTTGGTACCCAAACATAGGCTTTGCAACTGAATGTGCAAAAATAAGAAATATCTGGAATTTTTCCAGTGAAGAGTTCAGCTGGTGTCTTGAATTGAATCCTCTTGAGCGGTGTTCTATTGTACACATGAAGTGCACAATCAAAAGTGAAGTTCCAGTATCTTTTTGGAACACAAGCATGATGATGAATAGCTCTGGATTTTTCCAGGATAGTTCTATTGAATCATTCTGCATGGCCATTTTGTTGTGGTTGATCAGCTATAGAAAGCTGATGTGCAATTCCTCTTGAAGTGAGGAGCACCTTGAAAGCATTTCCCATGAATTCTCCCCCTCAATCCAAATGGAGAGTCCCCAATTCAAGATTGAGCTGGCATTGCATAGCAAGAAGCCAGTTGGCAAAGTGACAATAGGTGTCAGATTTATTCTGCAAATAAATGCAGAAGCTGAAGGAAGAATAGTCATCAAGTAGTGTCAAAACATACTTGGACTGAAAATAAGATTCAATAGGAAGTTCCAAGAGGTCAGCATGAACGAGTTCTAAAGGATGAGTTGCATGTTTCCAGGATGGCTTGAAACATTCGGAAGCCATTTTGCCTTGTGCACATCCTTTACAGGACTGAATCCCTTGTAAGGGAATTTCAGGAAGACCTAAGTGGCAAAGATGATGCATTATATTGTTCACTGGATGTCCTAACCAATTATGCCAAAGGATTTCAGCATTCATTGTTACCATTGGGCAAAGGACTGAAAAAGCATTGGAGGGTGGCAGCAGAATGCCCACAAACCAATGTAATGGTGAACTGGGTGAAGCTAATTGTGCTTCCACCAGAATCCAGCCATCAGGTGTTCAGATTACTTCATTGTAAGAAGTCACTTCGCTTCTATATCCCCTTTCTAGAAGCATATTCTGAGGACAGAGTCTCTTTGAAAATCGTGGGCTATAAACCACATTCTCCAAGGAAAGAGTGGAGCCATTTTCAAGCTGCAACACTACAGTTCCTTCACCTATAATATTGACTCATTGTTTTCCAGCAGTATTGGCTAACTGTGGAGT